ATTTGGTTATAAATAGTTGTGATTCAAGTCTTGATTATAAATAATTCCCTCCATTGGTCATTATGAACTGGAGCCCTATCAAACTTGTCCCTAATACAGTGTATTTATTCTGTGCGATTCAACATTTGTATGTGAGGACACAACATAATTTTTTCAAAAAAAAATAATAATTTGGTCACTCAATGCACGACTGTTAGTGGGGACGCTGCTGAGGGCAATTGGCTGCTGCGTTGCGCCCACAAAATATACAGTCGATTCACTTTACAGTATGTCCTGTGAAGCGCTTTGAGACGTCTGGAATACGTGATAAGGCTCTACATCAAAATGCACGGAATATGATTATTATTATGGCGTGTCAGTGTCTGACAGGCTATCAGATAATATAGTGGAAGATAGATTGACAGATCTAGGAACTGTGAGGAAGTGTCCAGTGTTCACCGCACTTCTTATCTTTATACTCACACTAATCCAACTCGAAAAACCTAACACATTCAGGAAACACACCAAAAAATAAACCTTAAAGTCTTAAACCTAAATCTATCATACAGTACACTACAGTATATCTTAAGACTGACTGACTGCACAGGATGCAGCACTTCTCTTTTTAAATAGGAATATATATAGATATACAGTAGAACTCACCGGTATTGTCTGCTGTTTCTAATCTGCTGGGTTTAAATCCCTTCAACTCCACTGACTGCTCTGATGCTTTCTGCTGCAGGTCTATTTCACTGAGAAGAGGCAGCACATTTTCAAGGCAAAACCCATTCATTAATGAAAGGAGCAGCCAAGACCCACCCTGGCTTTGATGAGTGAGTGAGTTAGTGAGTGAATTAGCTTTGCAGCTGCTATAATTGGCCCATGGAAATGTCAGTCGCACAACCCCAAAGGCATAGAAAGCCCATCCCAACCCATCTCTGTGAGTTTGGGTTCCTTCTCGGTTGAAGCTTAACCCATCACTAACTCAACCACCAATAAACTAGTCCGTGCCTCTCTTACGGCTGCAGATTCGTGTTCTAATGTGTGTAAGAGAGAGAGAGGGCAATTGTTCAATTTGTTATGATCTGATTATCTGGTAATGTGATGCCTGATCTACATTGCGGAAGATGTTTTCGTGAAATGCAATGAAAAGGGGCACGAGTTATTTTTCACCAGTGTTCAATTAGGCGGCTTCGGGTTCAGAAGCCCAACCCAACAGCAGGAACACAGATCGCAAGCTATGAATTATTACTTTTTATTGGAAAACACGGCTCGACAAGAAGTAAAAATACATAATAATAATAATAATATTAATCCTTGCATTTGATATAGCGCCTAATCACGTCGACGAGACGTCTCAGAGCGAGCACTCCGCGGGATTTTACCGTGAAGCCTAGCGACTGCGCATCTGTAGGCAAAGCAGCAGTCGATTTGCGCACAGCAGCAACAACAACAACAACAACAACAACAATAAAATGGCATTTGTAAAGCGCCTTTCACGTCGGGAGGACGTCCCGAGGCGCTGGACAGACAAGAGTTACGGACGCGAGCTGGGGGTCGGGGGTGGAGCGATGGCCCGTACCCAGCAATGAAGTCCTGTAGCTCAGCGGTCAGAGCACTCGCTTTGCGAGTGAGAGACCTGAGTTCAATCCCCGGGGGAGTCAGTCAGGGCCAAACCTTGGGCAAGTTTCCTTACTCCACACAGAGCCTAATAATAATCCCTCCAAAACCAAAAACAATAATAAATTGGTCATTTTCAATCTACGACTGTTTGTGGGACATTGCTGTGCGCAATTGGCTGCCGCGTTCGCCCACAAATATACAGTCAGTTCACTTTACAGTGTGTTCTGTGAAGCGCTTTGGGACGTCCTCCCGACGTGAAAAGCGCTATATCAAATGCAAGGATTATTATTATTATTATTATTATTATTGTCTCTCACTGTTATCTTCACTGTACTGTAGTGTCACCGGGAAGGACCGGACCCTCTGCTGACACCCGGTGGTCACACAGCGCACAACCGCTCCCCCACTGCAGTGTCGCCAAGAAACCGTCTCAGTGACGGTGACCGATATCGTCATTGTTACTGTTTAATAATAATAATAATAATAATAATAATCCTCGCATTTGATATAGCGCTTTTCACGTCGGGAGGACGTCCCAAAGCGCTTCGCAGAACACACTGTAAAGTGAATTGACTGTATATTTGTGGGCGAACGCGGCAGCCAATTGCGCACAGCAATGTCCCCACAAACAGTCGTAGATTGAAAATGACCAATTTATTATTGTTTTTGGTTTTGGAGGATTATTATTAGGCTCTGTGTGGAGTAAGGAAACTTGCCCGAGGTTTCGCCCTCTGCCTGGAATTGAACTCAGGTCTCTCACTTGCAAAGCGAGTGCTCTAACCACTGAGCTACAGGACTCCACATTACTCACAGTAACTCATTGTTACTGTTAATAATAATAATAATAATAATCGTAACCCTTGCGGTCGAGAAGACGCCTCAGAGCGTTTCCCCGGCGCGTGCTGTGAAGTGGGGGTGACCGTGCGTTTCGTGGGCGGAGGGCGGGAGCCCCGACTGCACACAGCGGCGATCCCCACAAACAGCCGCGGGTGTGACACTTCCCCCTCAACCGCTCTATTGTAATAATAATGATCCTTACATTTTACATCGCGCCTTATCAGGTCTTCGAGACGTCTGAAAGCGCCTCGTCTGTCTGTCTGTCTGTCTGTCTGTCTGTCTGTCTGTCTGTCTGTCTGTCTGTCTGTCTGTCTGTCTGTCTGTCTGTCTGTCTGTCTGTCTGTCTGTCTGTCTGTCTGTCTGTCTGTCTGTCTGTCTGTCTGTCTGTCTATTTCTCCATCCCTTTCCATTTCTCACTCTTATCTATCGCTCTTTGCGTACTATTGATTGATTGACTGATTGACTGATTGACTGACTGACTGATTGACAGCCCCTGTCCCTGGTACCAAGGATGAACAGACAGATCTGAGTCAGCGGAGAGAGACAGAGAGAGAGAGAGAGATAAGAGTGAGAAATGGAAAGGGATGGCGAAATAGACAGACAGACAGACAGATGAGGCGCTTTGAGACGTCTCGAAGACGTGATAGGGCGCGATATAAAATGTAAAGATCATTATTATAATAGAGCGGTTGAGAGGGATAGAGAGACAGAGAGATATAGAGGGAGATAGAGACAGAGCGACGGAGATAGAGAGATAGACAGATAGAGACAGACAGACAGAGACAGACAGAGAGGGATAGACAGATAGAGACAGACAGACAGAGAGGGATAGACAGATAGAGACAGACAGACACAGAGTGAGACAGAGATACAGACAGTGAGGGACAGACAGACAGACAGACAGACAGACAGACAGACAGAGACAGACAGACAGACAGACAGGGAGGGAGGGAGGGAGGGAGGGACAGACAGACAGACAGACAGAGACAGACAGAGACAGACAGACAGACAGGGAGGGAGGGAGGGAGGGAGGGACGGACAGACAGACAGAGACAGACAGACAGGGAGGGACAGACAGAGAGAGATAGACAGGGAGGGAGGGACAGACAGACAGACAGACAGAGAGGGACAGACAGACAGACAGACAGAGAGGGACAGACAGACAGACAGACAGAGAGGGACAGACAGACAGACAGAGACAGACAGACAGACAGACAGAGAGGGACAGACAGACAGACAGAGACAGACAGACAGAGAGGGACAGACAGACAGACAGAGAGGGACAGACAGACAGACAGACAGACAGAGAGGGACAGACAGACAGACAGACAGACAGAGAGGGACAGACAGACAGACAGACAGAGAGGGACAGACAGACAGACAGACAGAGAGGGACAGACAGACAGACAGGGACAGACAGACAGACAGACAGACAGGGACAGGGACAGACAGACAGAGAGGGACAGACAGACAGACAGACAGACAGACAGACAGACAGAGAGGGACAGACAGACAGAGAGGGACAGACAGACAGACAGACAGACAGACAGAGAGGGACAGACAGACAGACAGAGAGGGACAGACAGACAGACAGACAGAGAGGGACAGACAGACAGACAGACAGACAGACAGAGAGGGACAGACAGACAGACAGACAGACAGACAGAGAGGGACAGACAGACAGAGAGGGACAGACAGACAGACAGACAGACAGAGAGGGACAGACAGACAGACGGACCCCCCCCGGGGCTGTGGCTGATGGTTGGATCCCGGAAGCGATGTCTGTTTTGCTGCTGAGATTCTAATGTGAGAGACGAGAAGAGGAGAGAGAGAGAGGAGAGGCCGCGACTCACACTCACTCACACTCACACACACACCAGCCCGAGCTCACACTCACTCACACACACACCTACACACACACACACTCACACCCACTCACACATTTACACACTCGGTGGTACCAGAGCGCACTCCTCTCTGACGCTTTTCACAAGTGTGATTTTCGTGCCGTTGTTGTTGTACACACTCACACACTCATTTACACACTCACACACTCATTTACACACTCACACACGCATTTACACACTCACACACTCATTTACACACTCATTTACACACTCATTTACACACTCACACACTCATTTACACACTCACACACTCATTTACACACTCACACACTCATTTGCACACTCACACAGTCATTTGCACACTCACACAGTCATTTACACACTCACACACTCATTTACACACTCACACACTCATTTGCACACTCACACACACACAGTCACTCCCACACAGCCGAGTACTTACACACTCACACCCTGGTACCCCCCCACACACACTCACAACCACCCCAGAGACCCCCCCCCACCCCCTGAGCCCCCCCTTCCCCCCCCCCCACCCCCTGAGCCCCCCCCCCTCCCCTCCCCCCCACACCCCTGAGCCCCCCCCCCCCCCACCCCCTGAGCCCCCCCCACACCCCCTGAGCCTCCCCCCCTCCCCCTCCCCCCCACCCCTGAGCCCCCCCACCCCCTGAGCCTCCCCCCCCCAGTCCCCGCACCATGTCTGAGCTGTGGCTGCTGACGGTCCTGGCGCTGTCCCTGGTGTCGCTGTTGCTGGTCACTGTGGTGGCCCTGGCGCTGCACTCGGGGCTGCTGACCCGGGTGCGGGTCAGCGCGGGCGCCTCTCCCGTGCGCGCCCTCACCCTGGCGTACAAGTACAGTCGGGGACCGTACCGGCAGGTGGGCAGTCTGTTCACCCAGAGCACCAGCATCGGCCCCGAGCTCAGCTGCGTCGGGGTTTACTACGACGATCCCAACCAGGTAGGTCTCCGCTCGTCCGCAGCAGCAACTGTCCTCGCGCTTGGCACGGCCGGCGCCGCCCACCGCCTCTTCGAGACGCCTCGAAGCGCTTCGCGGGGATCCGCGGTCTCACGTGCGGTGACTTTAATAATAATAATAATCCTCGCATTTGATATAGCGCTTTTCACGTCGGGAGGACGTCCCAAAGCGCTTCACAGAACACACTGTAAAGTGAATTGACTGTATATTTGTGGGCGAACCCGGCAGCCAATTGCCCACAGCAGCGTCGCCACGAACAGTCGTGGATTGAGTGACCCCAAATTATTATTGTTATTTATTCGGAGGTGTTATTATTATCCCCGGAAAAGCGATTCGCCCGTCGACTACCGACCGGGTTTCCCTACTGACTGTTGGTAAACAGAGGCGCGCGTGTGTGTGTGTGTGTGTGAGGAGTAAGGAAACCTGCCCGAGGTTTCCCGCTGTCCTGCCCGGGAATCGAACCCGGGGACCTCTCGCTTGCGAGGGGCGAGGGCTCCGACCGCTGAGCCGCAGGACTCCACTCCACATGAGAGCGCCTTATCACGTCGTCGTGGCTCAAAGTGCTCTGTGGGATGTACTGTAAAGTGGCATAAAGTGTATTGCGTGGGAGAAACCCAGCGATGGCCCCGCCAACGTGCTTTGGAGTTATTCGGGGGGTTTGTTGGGTCAGGACAAATCAGAAACGTTCCCTTCTCTCTTCGCATGAGATCTTTTTAACGTCCACCTGAACAGGCAGACCGGCCCTCGGTTTAACATCTCATCCCGAAGGACGGGTAGAGTCGCTGTGCTTAATCTATGTCGTTCCTTGCAACCTGAGCGATGTCCTGCACAATACCCTGAGGCTGGTTTCTCAACGCTAAACACAACCGTGTTGGTAAATATTGGGTAATGTTGATACTGTCTCATTGTATTGCTCTCCCGTTATGTATGTGGGTCGCGGCACTAAGACTATTCCAGTGACCGCTGTACCACAAGGAATAACTTGGAAGTGTAGAGGGTACTTTACCCTCTAGAGATGGGATTGTGGTGGGATGAAGGCACTAACTAACAGTATCTCGGGATACGGTATATAGTTTGGGGCGCGACTGTGTTTTTCACGCAGCGAGTTGTTGGGAACGCATTGCCTGAAAGGCTGGTGGAAGCCGATTCCATAACAACTTTCAAGAGAGAAGTAGATAGATATTTGGGGAGGACAAGTTTGCAGGGGTATGGGGAGGGTGCGGGGGAGTGGGATTAAGTTGGACAGCCCTTTGATAGACCCGGCACAGACACGATGGGCCGAATGGCCTCCTTCTGTGCTGTATAATTCTATGACTCTGCGTCAAGCGACTGCCAGGACGGTGGAAGGCGAACTGGACGGACCGCGGTCTTCTTTGGCCAGCAAATTCGTACGTTCTCAACCATTCCAGGAGCTGTGACTCTGCAAAACCGATCCCATTGCGGCTCCACATTTACTCTTAGTACTCTGCTAACTCTTGCAGTAAAATCGAATAAAACCTCTTTCCACAGGCGGCGTGACTCCTGAAAGTATTTTTTTTTGTGTGAACACAAAGGGCCTAATCCTTTGTGTTGTTTTAGAAACGTAGGAACGGGAGGAGGCCATTCAGCCCCTGGAGCCTGTTCGCCATTCTATGAGATCATGGCTGATCTGTACCTCAGCTCCCATTTCCTCACCCTTGATCCCCTGACCTAACAAATATCTATCCACCTCCGTCTTGAAAACTTGAATGGATCCAACCCTAAAACCACAGCCATTTGGGGGGAGAGAGGGATTTCCATTAGCCTTTGGAATTCTCAGTTTGGTTTGGAGACTCTTAATCACGATGATGAGTTTCCGGGTGGGTCAGACCCATGTCTGACCCAAAAAAAAAAAAATTCCATCGGCTTCTCGTTTGATACTTGCCACGATTCAGAGGAAGCCGTGCCAGGCCTGGAAAAACAAACAGTGGTGCATACAGAGGGAGCAGTTACTAAAGGTTATTAATAGGGCTGTGTTTGCACACAGAAAGCAACGGAAATGCCTCACAAGCGAGCGGGAGGACCCGGGTTCGATTCCCGGGCAGGACAGGGCAAAAAGTTGGGCAAGTTTCCTTACTCCACACACACCAGCAGTGAGTAGGAACCCGGTTGGTAGTCGATTGGCGGATCGCTTTTCCGGGGATAATAATTCCTTAAAAAAAATGCTAACGTAATCACTCATTAGTAACGCTTCACGGAATATACTGTAAAGTGGATTGACTGTGTTTTGTGGGCGAAACCCGGCAGCCAATTGCGCACAGCAGCGTCCCCGCAAACAGCCGTGGATTGAGTGACCAAAGTATTATGATTATTTTTTTTGAAGGGATTATTACCCCTGGAAAAGCGATCCACCAATCGACTAACAACCGGGTTCCTACTGACTGCCGGTAAACAGTTGTTTGGAATAAGGAAACTTGCCTAATGTTTCTCCCTGTCCGGGAATCAAACCCGGGTCCTCTCACTGCGAGTGCTCTAACCACTGCGTTACAGGACATGTACATTCAGTTCAGGAACTCACTTCTCATCGACTTCTCCATTGTAATTGTCCCGGGAACTCTGACTCATCATCACTGACACTGTTAGAGAAAACTTACCAAGCAAGCGCACTGGTTATAAACTCCTTCATATTGTCGTAAAACTCACGTAAATCTGAAGTGTATAAATCCTATAATTGCTTAAGTCGAACGTCCATCTGCCCACGGCCCATTCGAGAGTTTATATTACACGTTTGACATAACTCAACAGCAGCACATGACATTTACACGGCACCTTTCACGTCGGGAGGACATCCCAAGGCGCTGGACAGTCAGGGCTTTGGACCCGAGCTGGGGGTTGGGATCAGGAGGGTAGGAGGGTGACAGAAGGCCCGGTCGAAGTGGAGGGTCTTGATACTGGCCTTGAGGGAGGCGAGGGGGGGGAACTGTGGGAGGGAGCTCCAGAGGGTGGGGTAGTGGATGTGGGGCCAGGCTGCTGATGGTATGGACCCAACTGATACGACTTGTGTGAGGTTTATTGTATAATTTACGTCTGATCTGTATCTCTATCTGAACCTTCCTTTCTGCCGGCTATGGTTTACTGCTGATTCCCCTGCTCCGTTTCTCAGTGGGTAACTGTGGTTGTTCCGAGTAATGCGTTGGCTTTGCCGTGCAGGATATGTTATTTTTACTTCCAGTGAAACGTATGCCATTTCGTGCCTCGCCCTCTAGCACTGGCGGTGACTACAGCTGAGGATGTGCCACGTGTCTCTCTCTCTCTCTCTCTCAGACATCTGAAAACGCTTCAGTTTCTCCAGAGCAATGATGGACTATAATAAAAGGCAATCAGGAAAGTGTAGGCAACAGATGGGATAACCTTAAGCGTGTAATCTGAGGGTTCAGGGCTAAAATAAGAGTTCATGTTATAAGGACGGCTGTATCTTTAGGCAAAGCTTTGTCGGTCTGTTGTCACATGCAGTATGCAGATAACTGCGCGCTCTTCAAGTAATACCACTGTATAAGGATCTAAGGTGCTCTCACCACTAAGATATGGAGTCCTGTAGCTCAGTGGTTAGAGCACTCGCCTCGTAAGCGAGAGGACCCGGGTTCGATTCCCGGGCAGGACAGGGGGAAACCTTAGGTAAGTTTCCTTACTCCACACACACACACGCCTCTGTTTGCCAGCAGGAAGTAGGAGCCCGGTTGTTAGTTGATTGGCGGATCACTTTTCCGAGGGTAACAATCCCTTCAAAAAAATTAAACAATAATAAATTGGTCACTCGATCCACGGCTGTTTGTGGGGACGCTGCTGCGCGCAATCGGCTGCCGGGTTTCGCCCACAAAATACACAGTCGATTCACTTTATCCTGCGAAGCGCTTTGAGACGGCTCGATGACGTGATGAGGCGCTGCGTCACATGCCGGGATTATTATTATTAATAATATTATGTCCTGGGTTCTCGGTGACATTGCTGTGAAGGATGTAATTTGGGCTGAACATCACTGGGTGGCGGTGGAGCCACAGTGACTGGGTTGGAATCATCGATTGCCAGTTCTCTTAGCTTTAAGGCCAAAAATGTGTGCACAGTATCTCAGTGGTGTTGGCTTTGGATGAAGAGGAGTTGGTACAAGCTCAGTCTTACTGCTTCCTTCCTGAACCTACCCGATGCAATGTCAGGAACACGACCTGCCTTCTCTCTATGTGGCGATGTTACGTTATATGACGCGGTATACGGTGGACGGCGCCTTTCACGTCGGGAGGACGTCCCAAAGCGCTGGACAGTCAGGGGTTTGGACCCGTGCTGTTATGTTGTGGGATGGGCAGGAGGAACGTCAACAAGGGGTTCTTTGACACTCTCCTCAAATCTTCTCTGTTTGGACTTCAGGTCAGAGCAGGATTGAGTTGACCAGCGTCTCATCCCAAGGACGGCACCACCAACAATGCAGCCCCTTCTCCCCACCCCCCACCGCCCCGCAACTGCATTGTTGGAGGTGCCTCGAGACGTCCTCTCGACGTGAAAGGCGCTGTACAAAATGTAACTTGTTGTCGTCGTTCCAGTCTTGAGTGTCAGTCTAATTCTCGATTGAGTGCAAAGCCCTGAGATGAATGAGAAAGGAATTGACAGGTCACAGCAGTGGGTCTGCGAATGCCGTGAAGGCCGAATGGGTTTGAGGTGAGGATGCTGGAAGGGTTGGATTGATGGCTGAGGTGGGATCCAGTCTATGTGGGAGTTGAGAGTATTAAAGAATCAAGTGAAAATGATTTCCTGTTACCAAAATAATATAAATTTGGTCACTCAGTCCGCGGCTGTTTGTGGGGACGCTGCTGTGCGCAATTGGCTGCCCCGTTTCGGCCACAAAATATACAGTCAATTCACTTGATAGTATATTCTGTGAAGCGCTTTGAGACTTCTTGAAGACGTCTCGGAGGCGCTGTATCAAATGCTATTATTATTTTTATAAGGGTTATTCTAATAATAATATTATTATTAGAAAATAATAATAATAATATAGTATTGTTATTGTTATTATAAGGGTTATTCCTGGAGCCTGTGTGCGTCTGTCTGTGAGAGAGAAAACAAACAATAAATAGAAAGACACACTTGTAAGTTGCTCCGATCCCAGCAGCCAAGCCATTTTGGTGTCTGTTAGTATCGAGATTGCTTTGTGCAGACAGTAATTGTTGTGTGAACTGCTTTGCAGGGGAATACATTAACCTGTCGTGACCCGGTCTACCTGTTTGTTCAAGTTGAATTAGCGCAGTACGTGTTCTTGCTGCTCTCTCGGATGCGGGATTGCACTTTGCTTCCTCCCCATTGAAGACACGGTTACTGGTTACTGATTGATCTCATTCGGGCTGACAGTTCAGTGCAGTGAGCGTGAGCTTCCATCCACATCACCAATCCGCGGGCAGACAGGACTAATGCGGGAGGCGTCGAGTTGTCCGGGTATAATGGGCCACACCATTAGAACAAAGAGACCATGAGTGAGAGCGTGTAGCATCGAAGCTGATTCAGACGAGTTGATTTATTGGTAACGTTGGCTTCAATTTGTTCGTTGGACAAAAGCAATCTGGCATTGAGCGTTTGCTGAGCCATACAGGTTATTTCAGTAACACTTCATTCTTCTCAAAGGTACTTTGTGTATTGTGCAGCTCACGTCCCACACACAAACTCTCGCCTTGCCTGCTGTTCGCTGGGGAGTCCTGTAGCTCAGGGGTTAGAGCACTCGCCTCGCAAGCGAGAGGACCCGGGTTTGATTCCCGGGCGGGTCAGGGCGAAACATTGGGCAAGTTTCCTTACTCCACACACACACGCCTCTAAGCAGTCAGTAGGGACCCGGTTGTCAGTCGATTGCTGGATCACCTTTCCTGGGGTAAAAATCCCTTCAAAAAATGAGATTGAAAAAATAATAATTTGGTTCCTCAATCCACACCTGTGGGGAACGCTGCTGTGTGCAATCAATCGGCTGCCGTGTTTGGCCAACAAAATATACAGTCGATTCACTTTACAGTGTATTCTGTGAAGCGCTTTGAGACGTCTCGAAGATGTGACAAGGCGCTGTATCAAATGCAAGGATTATTCTTGTGGTAGAGTGTAGTGACTGTGTTCTGTGTGTGTGTGTAATGCAGCCAATTTGTGCATAGATTGTGGATTCCCTGCCAGCCCTAATCCTACCCCTCGCCGGCAGTGCATTTTAGACCTCTCTAAGCGAGTGACAATGTTTAATGTCTGACAACACACACACGCAGTGAAGCCGTGCGGTATTACTCTACACCTTCCGAGACTCTTTTATCACTGACAAATCTCCTTTTAAACACTGAGTGCTTGTGACATCCTTGGGTAAACCGACTGGAAGCAATTTCTGAGCCAAGGGTCCAGGGGGATCTAAAGTAACATCAAAGATGGTCATTAACCCGGGGGTGATTAAGTGATTATGTCACTTCAATTGGGTAATGCTTAATTTATCTCGCTCGTGCTGTCAAAATCGACATCTCCTGCAAGCCAATTGTGTCATCATCCACACTTGCTGTTAAACCCAAAATATTCCACAAGAAAACATTGTAATAGTTTTTGCTTTGCTTTCCTCCCCCTTCACCCCCGGGTGATGGATTATTGTTTTGTGGTTGCGGCTGATTTCAGATAAAGGTTGAATTCGTCAGCCTGGGTCCTGCTAAGTTGTGAAATAATAATAATAATAATTCTAATAATAATCCTGGCATTTGATACGGCGCCTCATCACCTCTTCGAGACGTCTCAAAGCGCTTCACAGGATAGGCTGTAAAGTGAATTGACTGTATATTTGTGGGCGAAACGTGGCAGCCAATTGCGCGCAGCAGCGTCCCCACAAACAGACGCGGATTGAGTGACCAATTGAGTATTTTTTTTGAAGGGATTATTACCCCCTGGAGTGCGATCCGCCAATCGACTAACAACCGGGTTCCTACTTACTGCTGGTAAACAGAGGCGGGTGTGTGTGTGTGTGTGTGTGTGTGTGGAGTAAGGAAACTTGCCCAACATTTCGCCCTGACCTGCCCGGGAATCGAACTTAGGTGTCTCGCTTGCGAGGCGAATGCTCTAACCACCGAGCACAAATGTACACGTGTGTGGAGAGATGCCGCTGTGACTCTAGAAAATTAATAAGGCTTTGATTATCCTGTGGCCTCGTCTATCCCTATAACCTTCAATCTTCCTCCCAGTGGACTCGATCTCAATAGCAGTTGTTGGCTGTGTTCTCCACACATCCATTGCCTGGCAGATAATCACTGATAGCTGTGCGTGTTAACAAAAAGTATTTTGGCACAGAGACATCTGCAGCATAGCCTCGTGTTTGATGTGAGATTCTTTTTGTTGTGTGGTTGTTTTCTCAGGTACCGCCTGAGAAGCAGAGATGTATAATAGGCAGCATCCTGAGTGAAGGAGACGAGAAACCTTCTGAAGAGCTGGTGAAACTCTACGAGCAGTTCGGCTTCAAGATATTCTCCTTCCCAGAAGTCACGCACGTTGTCATGACTACGTTCCCCTTCACGACCTTCCTCTCCCTGTATCTGGCCATGTACAAGGTGTACCCGGTGATGAACGATTACATCAAGGTAGGAACCGGCTCAGCTTATTCTGTAACTATCGCTGAATCCTTCTTTTGATGGCAAGGCCCAAGAAATCGGGCCTTGTTTTGGTCTGGAGTACCACCAGCGAGGCTTAGAGTTTTGGAAGTTGGCCCATAGTGATGCGGGTATGCCCTTAGCCCACACCGACTTATTGCCAAGGATGCAATCAGCTTCACCCCTATTTGCCAAGGCCCCTCGCGCCAACTGGCTTAAGCAGTTGGTGTTGAGGAAGCCTGGTATGAGGCAGATATCTGTTGAATATCTGTTAAGGAAAAGTTTGAGGCTTGGAATGACAGCGGCTGGAAGGCGTTACCTGGAGTCTGGGTTCACAAACCCCCGCACTCGTATTCAGGGCTTGATATCCACCTTGACTGGTACACAGCAGTAGCCCGACATACACTCTGAGGTCCCCAAGCTTTGGCTCTCTCCAACCTGTCCCCAATACTCTCTGGAGGTAATCAGGGTGTGTCCCTCCAAGGAGAGAATGAATGCACGTTCCATTACAGGCAGTCAAGTTGAGATACTTTTAAGCAATGTGATGGATTTCAACATGTGCTCTGTGATCTGCCAATGTATTAGACGAGTCATGGTCTGATTTAAGATCTGGACTTAAAGATGAGCTCAGTGTGTGTGTGTGTGTGTTTTCTTGCATCGAGACTAAAATCCTGTCTGTGCACGACCTTGAAGCTGATCCAGCCTGACCTTGCAACTCGTTTCATGACAACAGCAATCGTCGCATTTGATACAGCGCCCGGAGAGGGAAGTTGGACTTGCTTAAGTGATCAGTGAGCAGCAGTTTGCCACCACAAGCAGTTGCTTCTGTTATTATTGAATAACAAAGAATTCTTTGGGGTGAATTGCACAGCGTCGAGTGTAGGTGGGAAGGCACGGAAATCTCAGCTCTGTTTGGTGACTCTTAAGCAACGGTGATGGGTTTCTGCACGTGTTGAGGCACCGCCCCACCTCCCCCCCCAAAAAAGTACAAAATTCCCCGAAGAAGAAAAAAATAAATGAATCTCGTACCGTCAAAGTGTCTTCATTTGAATAGCAAGTGCGCGTGACTGAATCAATGGGGAAAGTGGATGAAATATTCAGTACAAAAGACCAGAGTGGAGAGTGACAGATGGTTGGGAAAGCCAGTTTCCGATCTCTGCAATGGGTTCCGCACAGCGAGTTTGTCTAATTAGCAGGTTTCAGCGCGAGAGCCTGCAGTTAGGTTGTCTGTCTGTTGTTATCGTGTTCATCACGCCCCTCGCAGCCTGCCCAACTGGATTTCATTACACTGACGCACTCGTGAAAATGTGTTTAATTATCGAGATTTGCAGCAGCTCTGCGCTCAAACTCCCAATTTCACATTCCACTGGAGCCCGCTCTTCCGAGAGCTATTGGCAAAATGTGTTCAGCTGCTGAGAAATCAGACCAGCTTTAGGGGGCCTTGACATGACATGCATTTCCTACAGAGTTCTGCTGCTCACCAGAAGGCTCACTCGCAAGGAGTGTTTGCTACCTACTCTCCACCCAGCGAGCGCTCAATACCTGGCTTGTTGGATGTCTGATGACCAACTAGTGACTGTGCTTTGGTTGGAGTGGGATGGGATGGGGTGGGTTTGGCAAAGCTAATTGGACCACGTTGGGCATAAAGTGGCTCCATGGTGACTTGCCGAGCAATGAATTATAACACTCGAGATGTTCTTGTGGTGATCTTGGCAGCCTTGGTTCCTCAGCCAGCTGGGTCTACAATATATAATGATAATCCTTGCCTTCGATACAGCGCCTGATTACGTCTTCGAGACGTCTCAAAGTGCTTCACAGGATATGTTGCAAAGTGGAGTGACTATGTTTTGTGGGCGAAACTCGACAGACAAACTATATGTTGTGGTATTGCTGATGGCAAACCAGTGCCCTATAGATAAGGTGGTTCCTACCTTGACAAGCAGTGGGAAGCTTGTCAAACCAGGCTCTCGATGGCAAGCTAACCCGCACAGTCCCCTAATGCACCACATTGACGTTCCCAAAGCTTGGCTCACTATTTTAGAATGAAAATCGATCCGAACTTTACAACAGTAATGATAATACTCGCATTTGATACAGCGTCTTATCACGTCTTCGAGACGCCTCAAAGCGCTTCACGGAATATACTGCAAAGTGTAGTGACTGTGTATTTTGTGGGCGAAACGCGGCAGCCAATTGCGTCCCCACAAACAGTGGTGGATTGAGTGACCAAAATTATTATTATTGTTGTTGTAATATTTAGACTAGTCCAACGGTGAGTCTGACTGATTTTTGCCTATCCTCCCGGTACAGTGTCCCACATTGGGAAGACTAAAGCAGCTTTGCTCTATGAAAGTCAGAGGGGACTAAAGTATTTGTGGAGCAGGTGAGAGAGGGAATGAACAGCTGTCTCATCCAGCAAGTGCCCCAGGCCCTCCATATCCTCACAGTAACCATCTGGATGTCCAGAGCATAGAGATGTCGTCTGACGTGCTGGGTTTGAACACTGTAGAGGTAGAGCAAAAGGTGATCTCATTGCCTTTCTCCGCTAGCAGTTAATGATGTATATCATGCTAATATATTTCTGTAGCAATTTCTGTATCTGCTCCGGGGGGGGAATGGAAAAGAAGTCACAGTTCAGACTTGTTTGTTCTGATGTCCTGTCCACCATCCAATTAATGGACAGGGTGCAGCCAAGCTGTCCAGCATATTTTCTGTAAAATGCAGCACAACTTTGTGCAGGTGATGCAAATGCAGCTCATGGGGGAGCCTCAAAGTGATTTTGATGGTGTATTTTGTCAGCCAGTTTGCGCACAGCAACATCCCACAAAGGGCCGTGAAGTGAGCGACCAATTTTATTTGGGGGGTTGTTGGCCAGGACATCAGGTGAGAGAAAACTCCCTTCTCTTTGCGAATAGCGCAACGGGATCTTCCACATCCACCTGAACCGGCGCAGACAGGACCTGGGTTTGACGTCTCATCCCATGGACGGCACCTCCGACAGTGCAACTCACGCTCCCCCCCCCCCCCCCCCCCAGCGCTGCGTTGGAGTGTCAGCTTAGACTGTGTGATGTTCAGTCCCAGCGTGGATTGATTTTTGCTCTTTTTTTTTTCCCCCTCCCCCCCTCTTTGTGCATGTATCCAGGTGGCGGTTAACTGGGGAAGGGAGCGGGTGGGCGGAGGTGGGAAGGGGGGGTCCGGGGAAGAGGGAGAGGGAGGAGAAGGAGTTTCCAAAAAAAAAATATGAGTGAGAATTCAGTAAATGGCTGTGCATAATTGAATCGTCAAAACTAGACTATTTATCCCTGTTGTGTTGCGTGTTGCACATGGAACCCAAGAATCCGGTGACATTTCCTCGCAGCCAGCAAGCAGCATCTGTGTGGAGAGCCACCTTTCCTGTTAGGTTCTGCCTGTTTTATTACCTTTCTTCTTCTCTCTCTCTCTCTCTCTCTCTCTCTTCCCCCCCCTCCCTCCCTGCCTCCCCCCCCCCCCACCCCAATCTGCTTTCCTCCATCTGCGTCTCTCAAGCAGAACAAGCAACACATTGCACCCAGGAGCGGGGGAAGGTGTCGCATTTGCTGACAGGCTCTCCGTGGTACTGGAGTGCCAGTGTTGGCTGTCTCTGTGTGTGTGTGTGTGTGTGTGTGCGCGTGTGCGTGTAGCTCAGGCTTGCTGCTGAGCGCCGCACAGGAAGAGATCTCACATAGCGTTCGGCTTTTAAACCGCATGTGCGCGTGTGTGTGTGTGTCTGTGTGTTCTTTATTTTAATTACACTCCGAGGTCGGGGTCTCGGCCATTCGGGAGGGCTCCTGTCTGCTGCCGTGCAAAAAATTTCCCAGCCGTTACCAGCGAGTCAGACCCCACGTGGAGGGGATCCATCGCGGTGTAGAATGCAGAGTTTTTTTTCTCTTCTTTTTAAAAAATGCCCCCACTTCAATTCCAGGCGAGCTCGCCGTGGGGGCTGGGATGGGGCTAATGGGCCCTACATTTAGGGGAATCCAAGTGGTGCAGTGGGTGAGAATTCTAATCCTGTCCAACCTCTTAAGATCTCCATTTCAGGCCAGACAGATTGGCCGTCTGTCCTGCTCTCCGCTGACTGTAAAGGTTCCTAGTGAAATGGTGGCTTGGATCCACTCACTCCCTGATCTACAGGAGACCAGAAGATAGAACTGGCTCAGCGCTAATTGTCAATCACACGCCACCAGCGTAACAAGGGGTTGGTTGTCTTCTAAGAGTGAGGCCTTTTGTTGAAGCTGAATTAACTCTTCTATCAATCTCCCAAGAGGTGACCTTTATACTATATTAGCGTGTGAAGCCAAACATCTCTTAAGAAGGCCAATTTAGTGCCTTTGCTGACAATTGCACTTGATAGGTAATGAGTGCAGCCTATCCAAAACGAATGGGCTCTTACAGCAGAGGTGAATTGCTGTTTGAGTTGAATTGAATCCCTTGTCTGCGAAGGGGAAAGTAGCTTCTGCTAACTCAGTCTGTCTGCCACTCACTCGCCTACAAATTCTCTATAAAACAAGGTATTTTCATTGAAAAACACTTCAATCATTTTCTTGGATTCCCGGGCAGGGAGAAGTGTTGGGCGAGTTTCCCTTCTTCCACACACACAGACACACACACACACGTCTCTGTTTACGCAGCAGTAAGTAGGAACCCGGTTGTTAGTTGATCGGCAGATCGCTTAAAAAAAATATTAAAAAACAATTATTTGGTCACTCAATCTATGACTGTTTGCGAGCCACCGCAATTGGCTGCTGTGTTTCGCCCACAAAATATACAGTTGATTGAACGAGTTACTTGAATCTCACATCTCAGCTGGTAGAATCTATGACTATAATGTTCCCTGTTGACAAACCCCGGCCTCTGGGTACGCTTAAATAACACACCATGGAAGCTCTCGCAATTCGATGTACAATGCCAATTCTCTCTTGAGTGTATTCGGGAGCCAAGGACGTGAAGCGCCAGAGTTCTGACTTGGATCAGATGCGACGAGTGGCGAGCTATATAGATGTTGATACATAGATTGCTGCCCGTTGAAGGCTTCTGTCACGATTGACATTCGCAACATGGCCCTGATATATAATATGGAGCCTCTGGAGCTCTTGTGCCCTGTAATTGTGTATGCTCAGCTTGGTTTAATTATTAGCAAGCCATTTAGTTCACGTTTCTGCTCTGTTGACTCGGTGCGTGCTCAGGGACCTCATTGGCTCATTGCTTTTGGTTGTAGTTTTCAACGACTTGAAATTCGCTGTAACCCAATAATTGTCGGGATATTGTACCATCCGGAGGAGGGGGATCCCTGCCCTGGGAGTGGAGCTGGACAAATTTGGGGGGCTAGTGTCCCTTCAGCCAATTAATTCCAAACGTGGCGATGATCCCTGGAACGGTCCATTCCTAATACAGCAATGGATGGAATTCCTTTGGGATTAACCCGTCTGAATAAAGCCTTGATCATGCTCTGTTGTCACGTGTGTCTCGAGAGCAAATCATTGGCTTGCAGTGAGCATTGCCCACGCCCCAGAGAGAGAATCTCATCCCTGGGGTGTCTGTGTCAACAAGCGGGGAAAAACATTGTGGATACTAATAATAATATTAATAATAATCTTTGCATTTGATATAGCGCCTCAGCACGTCTTCGAGACATCACAAAGCGCTTCACCGAACATACTGTAAAGTGAATTGATTGTGTATATTTTGTGGGCGAAACGCGGCAGCCAATCGCGCACAGCAGCGTCCCACAAACAGCCGTGGATTGAGTCACCAAATTAAGTCAGCAAATCATAATTTTTTTTTTTTCAAAGGGTTTATTACCCTCGGAAAAGCGATCCGCCAATCGATTAGCAACCGGATTCCAACTGACTGCTGGTAAACCAGAGGCATGTGCGGGGAGTACGGACTGAGGTTTCGCCCTGTCCGAGAATCCAACCCAGGTCCTCTCGCTTGCAAGGCCTCACCCGATCTAACCACTGAGCTACAGGACTTGTTGGGAACAAGGCAGGTTCCCAACCTCAGGCTGCTCAGGATGTGATTGCCTTTGAACAGGTTCTCGTGTAGTTTGTACTATAAGCAGATCTTGGGGTCTGTGCAATGTAATGTTTAATTAGTTGCTGGGGATTTGAGTCCCGGAGGTATTTGAATTGTGTTCTGAGTTCATTAAACTTTCTTATTAAAACTGTTCTTAATTTGTTCAACCGCCACAATACAAAGGGATATTGACGTTCATCCTCCAGGGGAAATCACCTGGCGCTTTCCTTACTTCAGAGGCCAGATGTCTTACCGTCTCGCTCTAGCCACAAAGCCTCACCCGATCAAATCCTTTTTACGTTGGGGACAAGATGCATTAACTCGTGCTGTGCTGGGTTCGATGTCAGGGCGAAAACCTTAGGCAAGTTTCCTTACTCCACACACACGCCTCTGTTTACCAGCAGTCAGTAGGAACCCGGTTGTTAGTCGATTGGCGGATCGCTTTTCCGGGGGTAATAAACCCTTAAAAAAAAATAATAATTTGGTCACTCAATCCACGACCGTTTGTTGGACGCTGCTGTGCGCAATTGGATGAGACGACTTTTTTAAAAATTATTATTCACTTTACGGTATATTCCGTGAAGCGCTTTGAGACGTCTCAAAGACACGATAAGGCGCTGTATCAAATGTAGGGATTATTATTATTATTGTTAGACTGTACTTGACTACACTGAGGTTTTATATTTCCCAATTCTGACATCTCTCGTTTTGATGAGCATTTTTTTTGTTTAATAACTGCAGCTTTAATCAAGAATCTATTGATATTGTGAGTGTCTTACCTCATCTGCCTATCTTTTTTTCTCTCTCGCGCTCTCGCTTCTTTCCCCACCATCCCCCCCTCGCTCCATTCTTTACTGTGATCCAAAATAAAGGAACAATTCCTTTTTGTGGGCTTTCTGTCCAGCCAGAATAATTAGCTTTTTATCTCAGGCTCTGAACAGTGTTCAAAAGCACCGCTGGAGTTTGAAATGATTATGCAATCCCTAAATTGTATAAATTTAATATAATGAATAATTAATTTCCATTCATTGCCGGTGCATTGTGGCTTTGGTTCCCGCTATCTCATTATCTAACGCATACATATTCAAATAAGGAGAGAGCTTCAAACTATTGCTTGCACATTGAGGGAGGTTCTGTGAAACCGACCCGTGAAAACTTTCAGTTTAAAGGCAATCAGATATTACCTTGTTCTCCTCTGCTGCGCATCAATTGTCTGAGATTCAATAACCTCCTGTGAAGGTTTCTTTGGTGTGAAAGTCCTTTTTTTTTTACATCAAGGAAAAAATTACATTGAGAATCTTATACCCGTCCCCAGAATTAGTTTTGGACAATTCCCAGAATGAATGGGTTTAGCGATTGGCGGCTGCTCGCAATTATTTCATCGTATTCTTTCAACCAAAAAATCCAGAAATGACGAGCGATGTGTGAAATGGATCCTCGCAATTCAAGTTCTGTGATGTATTTGGAGTCCTGTAGCTCAGTGGTTAGAGCCCTCGCCTCGCAAGCGAGAGGGTTTGATTCCCGGGCAGGACAGGGCGAAACGTTGGGCAAGTTTCCTTACTCCACACACACACACACACACACCTCTGTTTACCTAACAGTAAGTAGGAACCCGGTTGTTACTCGATTGGCGAATCGATTTTCCGGAGATAATAATCCCTCCAAAAGAAACTAGTAATAATAATTTGGTCACTCAATCCACAGCTGTTTGTGGGACACTGTTGTGCGCAATTGGCTGCCGCGTTTAGTCCACAAAATATACAGTCAATTCACATTGTATTCTGTGAAGCGCTTTATTAACAATAATAATAATAATAATCCTTGTTTTTGATATAGCGCTTTTCACGTCGGGAGGACGTCCCAAAGCGCTTCACAGAACACACTGTAAAGTGAATTGACTGTATATTTGTGGGCGAACGCGGCAGCCAATTGCGCACAGCAATGTCCCACAAACAGTCGTAGATTGAAAATGACCAATTTATTATTGTTTTTGGTTTTGGAGGGATTATTATTAGGCTCTGTGTGGAGTAAGGAAACTTGCCCAAGGTTTGGCCCTGACTGACCCCCCGGGGATTGAACCCGGGTCCTCTCGCTTGCAAAGCGAGTGCTCTAACCACTGAGTACAGGACTCAGGCATCTCAAAGATGTGATAAGGCTCTATATCAAATGCAAGGATTATTATTGTTTGAATGGAGAGATAAGCTCTGTTCTCTGTTTATTTGCTTTTTTTTATCAGATTCATGTAATGGTTCAAGGTAACAACTGTATTCAGCTCTGTCCAAGTGACTTGAATTTGTTAATATGCTAAACCTTTGTGATTAGAACAAAGATACACTAGGCAAAGGTTAATCTTATGAATATTAGGAACCTTATGAATATTTATTGTGTGATTATTAAGAGCCTTATGAATATTAACATTGCTTTTTGCTCGTGGGTTTTGTGGCCAGCGCACTCCAGGCGGGGGAGGCAGACACACTCACCCGCGTCATTTCAGGCTGCTCTACACCGTGGTCAAGACATTTTCTGTAGAAAGAGGTAATAATTCCTTTTAAAAAAAAAAAAAAAATTTAATCACTTCAACCCACGGCTGTTTGTGGGGACGCTGCTGTGTGCAATTGGCTGCCGCGTTTCACCCACAAACTGTACAGGCAATTCACTTTACAGTGCGCCCTGTGAAGCGCTTTGAGACGTCTTGAAGACGTGATAAGGCGCTGTGTCAAATGCCGGGATTATTATTATTGTTATTATAATGTCCTCCCTGTAAGGTACCAGCTCTTAAGGGAACATTGATTATTCTAATGGAAAGGGAGTGTGTTGTGACATGTGGTGTTGGGGTGTCACTTGCCCTTCAGGGCCAGGGGCAGTAAAAAAAAAACCCCAGCCAGGCCGGGCGAGAACCAGCCAGGTTTCACCTGACTTTTAACACTGACAAATCTCCTATTCCCTTCCCACTCGAGGACAAGAAAGGGTTAAACTTAAATTTGGTGAGTTGCATTTGGAGGAAAGGGGTTAACTGACGACCGCCCGTGGCTCGAATCCAGTCGTGCGTAACAGAACATGCATATGCAGCAGAGACGGCCTTTCATGAGGACTGAGGGGCTCAGACGCGCGCGATAATCATCCTCTTGGAATTTGTGCGAGACGCAGATCGCAGAACGATATGCCAACTGGTTGCTAATCGGTTGCCAGGGGCTTCCCACGCACTGCTCCTGAGCAACACAGTGACATCATGCTGGATGTAGGCTGACTGCCGGCAAAAATATAAGATGTCTGGCACAGTCTCGGATCTCTGCAGCCTGGGGAGGGAGGTAAGGGGTCAGCCACTCGACGTCAACTCATCCGCCGGGGAAACGGACTGACTCGTGACTCGGGGCTGTGTGTGTGTGTGTGTGTGTGTGTGATTGCCTGAAGCACGTCAACATGTAATGCTTGGCAATTAACCGTTGCAGGGTGACTTGTAATGCAGACGGAAGGAAGCCCTGTGCGAGCCTGCGACGTGTAATTCCATTCCAGGTGTGTGTGTTCAAGAACTGGGGGTGGGGGTGGGGGGGGGGGGTTTCGCATCACGCTTGAAGTGGTCGATCCTCTCTGTAATATTTTCCTAGGCTCTGTGGTTTTGGAATTGGCTTGTTTTATCGACTGCGTCCTGCAGAGCAGACCAGAGCTCCTCCCACAGGCCTTGATGTGGTGCTCACTGAACATGGGCCTCCGTATCTCAGCAGCACAGTCGCTGCTGCTTTTCGTATAGCATTCACTGCGCCCAACATGTTAGCACGTTACTAATACAGGTTTGCTTTTGGCTGAGGAGGCCACACAAGTCCGGTTATGGCGTGAGGCCCTGCACAAAAAAGGGCTTCCAGACGATCGTGTTGATGTGTTTTTCTCATTGAAGAACGCGGTGTGTTTAGCTCCTGCCTTTTCATGGTGAAGGGTGGGTAAAATAAATCGAAATGGACAATGTGGGCGCTCGATCCACGACTGTTTGTGGGGACGCCGGTGTGCGCAACTGGCTATCGCGTTTCGCCCACAAAAAATACAGTCAGTTCCCTTTACAGGATATCCTGTGAAGCGCTTTGAGACGTCTCGAAGACGTGATGAGACGCTGTATCAAATGAAAGGATTATTATTATATATTTAGTATTATTTAGCCAGAGAGGCCCACACACAGCAGGTCTGAGGGAGCAGAGCGGAGACAGTGGCTGGTGGAGTAGGACTAGAAGAGATCACAGAGGTACAAGGGGCCAGGAACATGTAGTTGGTTGAAAGTTAGAGCAAAGATCTTAAATCAATACACAGTTAATAATGATAATAATCCTTGCGTTTGATATAGAGCCGCATCACGTCTTCAAGACGTCTCAAAGCGCTTCACAGACTATACTGTAGAGTGAATTGACTGTATTTTGTGGGCGAAGCAGATTAAAAAGCCAATGGAACCCGGGAGTTTATTCAGGAAGTTATCTCGTTCCTAGTTCTGTAATTAGATTTTTATTCCTATTTCTGACGATTTATAAACTGAAATTTCCTTTCTAGGACTGGGGGAGGGGGGGTTTGTGGCTAAACCAAGCCCCCGTTACAGTTGTAACAGCAAATCTCTCGCTACCTGTGTGTGAGGTGAAGTGAGGTGTTGATCTGATATTCCTTTCGAAGCCGTCTCTTCCCAATCGCACGTGAACCCAATCGCAAAGAAGCCATTTGTGCGCTGCTTTAAAGTCTTCCCTTTTCGGAGCACGTTGAGAGTGATGGAAGGTGACGGAGACATTGTCCACTGTAGTAATGCTGCTGTGTTCGTGAAGATCGAAAGGCCGCAACTCGTCGAGAAAAGCAACACCACCTCAGAAGTTTGGAGGTACTTTGGCTTCCAGCCAGGCAGCGATGGAAGGCCGGAGAACATAGAAACTCCAGTCTGCAAGATCTGTTTCCGTGTCATCCCAGCCAAAGCCTCAAACACCAGTAACCTTTATGCCCACCTGAAATCCCAGCACCCTCACATTTACATCGAGGTGAAAGGCAAGCCCAACCAGACCCCCACCACTCCCACGTCATGTGGGGAGCCCAGTAGAGAGCACCAGCCCACAATGAGGGAGCTCTTTCAACGCAAGGACAAGTTCGATCCCAAGGGTAGGGAACACAGAGAGCTGACCAAAGCAGTGACTTATTGCATCACCAAGGACAGGATGCCTCTAAACACCATTTCCAAACCGGGCTTCCAACATCTGCTGGGCAAGTTCAACCCCAGGTACGAACTACCGAGCAAGAACTACTTCTCCAGGGTGGCTATTCCGTCGCTCTATGCAGAAGTCCGTAAGGTGGTCGAGAAAGAGGTGAGGACTGCCGAGTGTTTCGCCACCACCGTCAAGACTTGGACCTCGAGGAGCAACGAGATGTTCCTGACGTTTTCACTTCATTCAATCGATGGTGACTGGAATCTCAAAAGCCACTGTCTGCAGACTCAGTATCTACCAGATGAGCACACGGGCAAGACACTAAAGTGCACCCTCGAAGATGCCTTGGAGGAGTGGGCTTTGGATCCTGGCAACTTGGTAGCCGTCACTACTGACAAGGGCCCTGACCTCGAATTGGCCTGTGAGTTGTTAGGCTGGCGAAGAATCGGCTGCTTCAGCCAGAACCTGCAACGCGCTCTCCTGAAGGGCCTCGAGGATTCTCGCATTGAGCGGATTATTCAGCTGTCGCGTCAGATATTCTCCCAGTTCTCTCGCAGTTGGAGGAGGAAGCGGGATCTCTCCATAGCTCAGGGACAGAAAGGCCTGCCCAGGAACGCCCTGAAAACCGACATCCAGGCGCACTGGGTGACCACCCTGGACATGCTGGAGAGGTTCCTTGAGCAGCAGGACGCTGTAAGAGCTGTCCTGGCTCACGATCGCAAGACGTGTCACCTGGTTCCGACCTGGCAAGACATCGACGTGCTTGAGTCGGTGATCGGCGTTTTGCGTCCGTTTCGAGAGATGACAGAAGCCCTGTCTTCCGAGAAATTCATCTCCATCTCCGTCGTAAATCCCCTGATCAAGCACATCTGCAACGACCTCGTGAGGGAGGAACAGGAGGAGGTAACGCTGGGTTTTCTCATGAGAATGAGGATCAAGCGCGACCTTGAAATCCGCTATGGGGACCCGGAATTGGTTCACTTTCTGGAGAAAGTCACCTTCATCGACCCCAGGTTCGGTCCCACTTGTGTGGACAATCTAGAGGGCGTCCTCCAGCAAATCAAAGAAGAGGTCCTCGCCGGCAAAGTCATCGAAGACTCCTCCTTGCTGCTTCAAATTGGCTTTGATGGTTCGACTGTCTCCCCATCGAGCTCTTGCTGTTGGTACGACGGAGACAGCCCAGGTCCAAGCCAACCGAAGAAAGCGAAATATGGAGGAGGACTCGCAAAGATCTTTGGGAAGCAGAGCGGAGATCCAGCTGTGGACAAGATGACAACCACTTCAGTTTCACTGCAGGAACAGCTTGACCGGGAACTTGATTTTTACTTCAAGGAACCCAAACTGTCGCTGGAGAGTTGTCCACTCCAATGGTGGAAAGCCACCCAGAGCTGCCTGCCTTTGTTGGCAAAACTGGCCAAAAAGTACCTCTGTATCTCTGCCACCAGCGTGCCGTCAGAAAGCGCTTTCAGTAGCACCAGTTACGCGCTCACTGACTATCAAAACAGCGTGAAACCAAAGCACATGGATCAACTTGTCTTCTTATCAGAAAATTTGCCTTGAGGGTCAGACTGTTGATGCCTTTAAAGATGAGCTTCAGTTCTCAAATTAATCCAAGGGCTGTTGAAGCCAACTTGACTGATATTTCACTGTCATATATATTTATGGTGTGTCAGATAATTGGAACTTGGGTGGTAATAATAATATTATTATTATTATATTCAGTGTGTTTTGATGATGCTACTGTCTATTGAATCCATCCTTGAGATAGATGGCTGGTGAGGACTAGTTAGTGTGACTTCTCTATCATTGGCTGATGAGGTGGGCAGAATAGGTTCTCTTCCCATTCTCACCCCCTCACCAACCACCTATCCAGATATAGGAGGAGGCCATTCAGGGTACCAAGCCTGTCCTGCCAGTTTTCCAGATAATGGCAGATCTTTGTATCCCATTTCACCACCATTTTCTCCATATGTCTGGATGATGCTCTGTGTAGAAGGGTGATGAAACTCACCCAACTGAGGCGGTTAAGTGTGAGAGACAGACACCTCTCGGACATGATTGCCTATCAGAAGATGATAATAATAATAATAATAATAATCCTTGCATTTGATAAGGCGCCTTATCACGTCTTCGAGAGTCTCAAAGCCCTTCACAGAACATGCTGTAGAGTGAATTGACTGTATAATTTGTGGGCAAGATTATCGTTTGAGAGTATTCAACAATTTGTGTCAGTTGGCTGGCCTCAAACCATAACTTTTATATTCATTTGACCAGCAAATACATTCTTGGCGTAGCTCCAGCAAGACTTACAGTTATTTTCTCTTACATCACTTGCATGATTTTTATATTTGATGCATGTTTAAGTGGAAATTCCATGAGTCTGTACTTAGTCCAATAAACTTATGAAGCACTTGCTGGTATATTTTGGCTCATAGTCAACATTGCGATGCATTTCAGTGCCCATCGAGCCTTCTAGACACTGCTTAATAATGAAATGCCGAGGTACTGTTGCTGCCATTGTACATCTGCACTTTGTCAACCACTGTACATAGAAGCTCCCTCTAACATGCGCTGTGGCACCAGTTGAATTTACTTAACAGGTCCCAGTATTTGGGACTGACCAGATCAGGGTTCTAAAAGCCACTTCTAAGACCTTTATAAGAACATAAGAATTTGCTGGCGAGAGAAGACCAAAGTCCATCTCGATCGCCTTCCACCATCTTGGCAGTCGCTTGTCATGTTGTTTTTATAAGATATAGTTTTATTGATTTCACCTTCTCCCCTCCCCCCGCCCATCCTTGTTCAAAGCCTGTTTGGCTGGGAGTGATGTTTGCTGCCCACTTCACTTTGGCATTTCAAAGGTGTGAAATCGCATCTGTGTCATAGGTAATCGCTTCTGAAATTGATTGCAATGAGTGGGTTGAGTAATTGTTCATCGGCCTCTGCTTTTTTGAGGCCATTTCTTAGAAATCTTGTGATGAACGCCTGGTTAATGGAAATGCTTGACTGTGGCCTGGTTGTGGCTTAAAGTGACTTCCCCTGAATTGGTTCAGTGCCCAGGGTGCAATTCCCTCATTAAAGGTACCAGACTCTGCCATTACTCCAACTGGTGTTTTGCCCGGCCGGGTGTCTGACAAGCGTGGAAACCCATCACCTTTGCTTAGTCTCCAAACCAAGATGAGATTTCCATCCATCCCACCGACACATGGAAATCCCAACAATAGATTGATGGAATGGAATGCGCTCTCTCTCTCTCTCTCCCCCCCCAGAGGGAACCATCCTGTTTACCTAATTCCGGAGAGTATTAGGCGCAGGTTGGCAAGAGCCCAGGGTCCCCAGAATGTGCGTTGGGGTAACTGCTGGAGTCCAACGAGCTAAAACCACACAGCTTGCCATCGACATTGCTCGTGTGTGTGTGTGTGTTGGATGCAGATTCCCGAGATGGAGGTTTGCTTACTCTATTTCTTCCCCCCCCCCCCCCCCCTCCCTTCCCCACAAGAAGCAAAACCCGCAGGTGTGGAGAGAAGCAGACCTTAGGTGTAAATTGTGGAACTGTTTGGGTCGGGAGGTGTAAATGAAGTAGCACCAACTGTTGTGGCACCTTAGGATGGAGCCATCTGTACAGGCTCCAGGCAGCCATCCTGCTGCACTGTCACTAAAACACTCAGACTGACATCGTCTTCTATAACGCTACTTGTGGAGTCTTGTAGTTCAGTGGTTCGAGCACTCGCCTCGCAAGCGAGAGGACCTGGGTTCGATTCCCGGGCAGGGCGAAAAGTTAGGCAAGTTTCCTTACTCCACACGCACGCCTCTGTTTACCCAGCAGTAAGCAGGAACCCGGTTGTTATTCGATTGGCAGATCGTAATAATCCCTTCAAAAACTAATTAATAATTAATTAATAATAATTTTGGTCACTCAATGCACGACTGTTTGTGGGACGCTGCTGTGTGAAATTGGCTGCCGTGTTTCTCCCACAAAATATGCAGTCGCCTCACTTTACAGTATAATCTGTGAAGCACTTTGAGGCGTCTCGAAGACGGGATATGACGCCATATCAAAAGCAAGGATTATTAAAGGCCCCAACTCCCTCGCAGTTTCCCATTGCCGATCACAGTATTATAATAATAATAATAATAGGGAACAAGTCCTACACAACTCTCTGGCCCTCCTCACCTAGCCCTAGCCTCGTCACACATGGCTTTGCCGGATTAGACGAGGTTGATTGCTTCCTGTGGGAAATGACCTGGCGAGTTGCAATTTAATATTCTTTTAAATTCTTCCAACTTTTCAAATTAAAACCTCCGAGTGGATAACGGGATTCAATTCAAATGACAACAGGTTGGTTTGCCTAAATTGCGTTTCAACCTCATTAAATATTAATCAAACAGCGAACTGAAATCAGCACATATCGTGTATCAAACATTGCTGCGGAGGACTGGTGATAATAATCCTTGCATTTGATATAGCGCCTTATCACGTCTTTGAGACCCACAAACAGTCGTGGACTAAGCCCTCTGGGGTGCGACCCTGTGTGAGGGGCACTATATAAATTCAAGTTGTTGTTGATTGAGTGACCAAATTATAGTGGTTTTTTTTAGGGATTTTTACCCACGGAAAAGCGATCTGCCAATCGAACTGCTTGTGAGTCGATTGGCGGATCACTTTTCCGGGGGGTAATAATTCCTTCAAAAAGAATAATTTAGTCATTTAGTCCACGGCTGTTTGTGGGGACGCTGCTGTGCGCTATTGGCTGCCGCGTTTCGCCCACAAAATACACAGTCAATTCACTTTACAGTGTATCCTGTGAAGCGCTTTGAGACGTCTCGAAGAGGTGATAAGGCGCTGTATCAAACGCCGGGATTATTATCATCAAAACAGGAGTGTTGCTGCTGTCCGTAGCTGAAGCTGTTATAGTGAGTGTTGCTTACGAAGGCTGGTTACCCTCTAACATGGTCAGATGTTACACAGCATCTGGAAGCTATTTGCAGAACACGTGTGTGGAGTGTCCACACGTGTGTTGTGATTTCAGCCCGTGGGTGATGGTGGGAGGGGGGGGAGCAGTTGACGGGGAAAGGAATGGAAAAGGTGCCTTGTGGTGTCGGAGTATGTTTGTGTTGGGTTCTGGACTCTGTGTAGCGTGTGATGGGATTGGGTCAGGATTGCCCGCTGAGCTGAACATTGCCCGAGGAGGAAACAGACATGGAGACTGCGAGAGGATGAAGGAAGAACTGCTCCCTCAGTGTTCACAGCGAGAAGTAATGTGAGCCGCACAGACTGCAATGATGTTTTCAAAGAGGAGCCTTTTAAAGGGCACTGAGGGTCTGGCGCACAGTTTCTGTTTGTGGGGATGGACGAGAGTGAGTTACATTCTGTTCGCTTGTTGCAGTGCCGTTTGCACCATCGGCGTGCTTGCTTGGCAGAGAAATTAAACGCGCTTTTCTCTCACGAAGATCACTCTCTTTGAATAAAAATTTCAAGCCTTAATAATAATAATAATAATCACAATAATCCTTGCATTCTATATAGCGCCTTATCACGATTTCGAGACGTCTCAAAGCCATGGGTTTCACAGGATATACTCGAAATTGAATTGTCTATTATTATAGTGTTGTTATTGTTATTGAAATGGATCCATAGAGAGCCAACGGAGGACTGGAGTGATGGATGTGCAGAGTTTGGTGTTGGTGAGGGGTGCAGTTGGTGGAGTTTCACACTTGTGAATTCAAACAGTTTCCCTGACTGTTTTGCAGACTTACTTAAGATGCAATCGATTTATTTTGAGGTTAGAGAGTCACAAATGACGCATTATTATTGCTTTATGAATTTCACAATCTGAAATTGACGGATGCAAATTGTTCCCGAGATCCTCTTCATCTCAATTTAGAAAATCCAGCAGTCATTGGTTTCCAATCCTGAGGTGTTACCTGTTGGTATAAAGTATGATGGATGAGTGATATTACAGAAGTGTAAATAAAGAGAGATTGCATGTCTGTTCTGGGTCACCAAAGCCACTTGTTATCGACATCAGATTACCTTCTGTGGCTCCTAAAAGTGCCCCGGCCTGATTGAGACGATCGAATTACAATCTCCTCTCACTCCGGAGTTTTATTTGGATGAAATAGTAATAATAATCCTTGCAGTTGATATAGCACCTTATTGCGTCTTTGAGACGTCTCAAAGCGCTTCACAGAATATACTATAAAGTATTTTTAATGGGCGAAATGCGGCAGCCAATTGAACACAGCAGAGTCCCACAAACAGTTGTGGATTGAGTGACATTATTGTTATTTTTTAAGGGATTAGTCCCCCCAGAAAAGCAAACCACCATTAACTAACAACCAGGTTCCTACTTACTGCTGGTAAACAGAGCCGTGTGTGTGGAGTAAGGAAACTCGCCCAAGGTTTCTCCCTGCCCGGGAATCGAACCCGAGTCCTCTCGCTTGTCCACCGAGCTGCAGGACTGCACCTTGGATCTTGGAGCCAAGGAAATATCATTCCTCTCCGAAATCAGTCCTTGGAAGGTCAGGTTAACAAGCATTTGCTATGGAAGTGAAGGGATCCACAGTTCCTGCTGTCTGGACTGCTACCTCCATTCCCGGGAGTGTTGGTGACACAACAGTGACTTGTATTTACACGGCGCCCTTCACACGGGGTGGGGTCCCGGAGCGCCTGACAGTGGCGGAGTCTGACCGCGAGCCTGAGGGGGCGGGGGGGGGGGGAGGTGACCGTAAGCACCATCGAAAAGGAAGGTCTTTAGGTGGGATTTGAAGGTGTGGAGCGAGAGGGGGGCGAGCGGAGGGATTGAGGGAGAGAGTTCCAGTGTTTCGGGGCGAAGTGGCTGAAGTCACGGCCACCGATGGTGGAAATGGAATCAGTTATTGCTGTCACCCAAGGTTGCAGCGGAGATGTTGTTGGT